GATGAACGTGTTTTGAACAAGGCCGGGAAGAAGATCAAGCAGCTGAATGCTTTCCATATGACCGAGAACAATAACATTGTTATCAACTCTGCCAAGGGTATCGGATGCTCAGTTGTTAACATTGGAAGCGGGGATATCATTGAAGTGCGCGAGCACCTCATCCTGGGTCTCATCTGGCAAATCATCCGCCGTGGTCTTCTTGGAAAGATTGATATCAAACTCCACCCGGAGCTTTATAGGCTTTTGGATGAGGATGAAACTCTCGAGCAGTTCTTGCGCTTGCCTCCAGAGCAGATTCTCCTTCGTTGGTTCAACTATCATCTCAAGAATGCCAAGTGGGACAGACGGTATGTCCTACCCGATAGAGAAATATAAAAAGACACGTGGCTAACCGATGTAGGGTGACAAACTTCTCTACCGATGTCAAGGATGGCGAAAACTACACCGTTCTCCTTAACCAATTGGCACCCGATGTTTGCTCGCGTGCCCCTCTCCAAACTCGAGACTTGCTTGAGCGGGCTGAACAGGTCCTCCAGAACGCTGATTCGCTTGATTGTCGCAAGTTCTTGACCCCAACCTCATTGGTTGCCGGAAACCCCAAGCTGAACCTTGCCTTTGTCGCCAATCTGTTCAACACCCACCCAGGACTGGACCCTATCACCGAGGAGGAGAAGCTCGAGGTTGAGGACTTTGATGCCGAGGGTGAGCGAGAGGCCAGAGTCTTCACTCTGTGGTTGAATTCGTTGGATGTGCAGCCGGCGGTCAACTCGCTCTTCGATGACCTACGCGATGGCTCTGTTTTGTTGCAGGCATACGACAAGGTCATTCCTGGAAGCGTGAACTGGAAACATGTCAACAAACCACCAGCGTCTGGTGGTGAACTGATGCGATTCAAGGCCGTGGAAAACACCAATTATTCGATTGAGCTTGGGAAATTTAATGGTTTCTCCCTTGTCGGTGTTCAGGGTGCTGATATCACTGATGGCCAACGAACCCTCACTCTCGGATTGGTGTGGCAGCTGATGCGCCGTGATATTACCAACACACTCTCTGCGCTGGCCCAACGGCTGGGCAAACGCGAAATTACTGATACTGAGATGATCCGCTGGGCCAATGACATGTCTAGCAGTGGCGGCAAGTCTTCCACGATACGCAGCTTCAAGGACAAGTCTATTGGATCTGGAGTCTTCCTCCTTGATGTGCTCAACGGCATGAAGAGCAGCTATGTGGACTACGATTTAGTCACGCCCGGTCGGACCGACGAAGAGGCATATGCAAACGCTAAGCTTTCTATCAGTATCGCCAGAAAGATGGGTGCCACCATCTGGTTGGTCCCAGAGGACATCTGTCAAGTTCGGTCTCGTTTGGTCACTACGTTTATTGGTAAGTCCGGCCCTTCATCGGTATGGCCAAGATTTCAGCTACTAACAGATGCTAGGTTCCCTTATGGCTACCCATGAGAAGATGTAAGGAATACAACAGTTCACTTGGCCAATTGTTATGGCATTGCATACTCTTTTTTTTTTTCTTCTTCTTCTCTTTCAATGCATGTAAATCTCCCGCTTCTCAAGGCGGACCCCAAGTGTGGATTGCAATCAAATTTTTATTGTTACCACGCTAGATATTTGCCTCTCCGAGTAATTAAAGGTACCGCTCAAACCATGCGACTGCCTGCAAAAAGGCAGACTCCTTGGCAAAGCGGACTGTCGGCTTGGTGATATCTGCACGGACAGCAAACCCATGCTCAACGCCACCGAACAAGTTGATCTGGTACGGCTGGCCAGTCTTGGTCAGTATATCCTCGGATTCATGGCGCTTTGAGGCCGGGAAGATTGAGTCGATTTCTATCAATATTTAGTCAAGACGCTGTAACTGGATCGTATAACTTACCAGCTGCAGCAATGGACAGCGGGCCTTGGATTGCTTGTAATTCCTCTACATCGACGAAACTGGGGTGTGCCACATAGGCAACATCGCAAAGACCTGGCTGGAGCAGTCGGACGGCGTATTTTGCCTGTGTTTGTCAACTCAGGCAGCAGCAAGCCATATACAGGACATGAACATACCCCGAAGCAATATCCGATAGCACCGATCCGCTCGCAGCCCATGTTGGACTTCATTTCCTTTAGTATCACCTGGACCACGGGCTCTACACGGTTTGGGAGATGACCCGGGGGGCCTTTCAGCCATGCCATTAGATTGAAGCTAGCGGGGCGGTTCAGCAGCACCGGATCACCGTGGAATAGGTCTGGCATGACAACCAGGTAGCCATTTGCCGCTAGCTGGTCCGCAATAAGCTGCGCATTGATGGAGCGATGACCAATTACATCAGTGAGCAGCAGAATAGCACGCTTGGTAGAACAATCGGGGCGTGAGATGTAGACCTCAGCTACGTCTGTCAGCGAAATTGTCTATGTCTAGAGCGTCGGAAGTATATACTATCGCCAATTTGTTGGAGTTGACCCTTGGTTTCACCTTCATGTTTAACGCCAGTGGCGCAACAAGTAGCGGGTGGATTGGATGCCATTGGATTACGGTTGAAGAGTTGATAAAGCGAGTGAGAGTGTAAGAACGGGAAAAGGAAGAATATAGGGAGAGAGAGATGTATATATAGAAGGTGGGGGGTATACGATATAAGAGGACCGTGCCCATTTTCAAAGTAAATATGACATAACAATAATATATATCAAATCATCATACGAAATATAGCTGGATATTTAGCTATGTGGATGTATTGTTTACAAGTCTTTTATAAAGTGGCCCCATGTCCGAGAGTCATTGAGAACATATCAAACATAATCATTCAAGCAGTGACTATCCGATATCTAGCATATCAAATCAAATGATCAGATACAAGCTGCATAACAGGCTTGGCCCTGTAAATATGCCCAGCCAAAAGACGATATTACCCAACAAACGGCGACCTCGCATTAGGCGAGTCCGACTTAGTGCAGCAAGCGGCAGTTGAGACATCTGAAGGATCAGCAGGTAACCTCGGAGCCGCCGGAAGATGCACAACATGATCAGCTCATGTACACATGCAGATAAGAGAAATGTGACAAGACTGGCAGATACCCGCGACAAACGGTATTCACTGATAGAGCCATGATATACATGCCGAAATAAGAAGTTATGGACAGGACGGTTCCAATCCCGCGCGAACTGATCCCACGAGACCGAGTTCCACCAATCGGAATAGAACCCTCGGTCTGCAAACATGGTGATCTCGGCTAGAGCATTGAGCTAGATGAACTTAGCAACCGGGGTAGCAGGGGGAGAGACTTGAACTTACAACGCATTCCCAGATCACGTAGAATGCCAGTAGATACTCCATCATGAACGGAAAAAGCAGGTCACCGAGAACCCAGGGAAATTCCCGAAGTCTCTGCTGCGCAGTCATTCCTTCCTCTTTCATACGCACCGTATCCATCACCACCGGGTATATCCATGATTGAGAGACTGCGATCATAACCACAATGATGCTGAATGTGGCCAGTGTTTTCTCTGCAACATAGAGCCAATCGATGTTCTTGGTCCGGGGGTATTCAAGCTCATAGACCAATGTGGGCAATGCCATGAAATCGCAGATATTTCTTATTGTCAAGTTTTGAGGATAGTGATTGTTGGTCAGTGAACACCGGCCCTTTAATCCCTCAGATAATACCTCGATCTCCTGCTCGAGCAGCTCTCGGATGGACTTCACCTGGTTCGGTTTAAGTGGCACGCCGGTCTCAATTGTTCTAATGAGAGATAAAAGTTGGTCGGTTTCATGGGATGGAGAATAGTTCTGAAGGTCAGAAGAGCGCCGGCTAGAGTCGATTCTCTTGAGGTCTGTGATCTCAGCATTGAGTTCCATATCAACTGCAGAAGAGTGTCCTATCTCGGTAGAAATAGCAAGTCCTCTTTCTTTGGCTTTGGTTTGGTCAAGACTTGCTTTCAGCATATTTCGTTTGCGGTACATTTCCGATACTGTCCTCATTAGCTCTTACTCATTACCAAACGGAAATTGACGCACAATAGCCATTATAAGCTGCATAGCTGTGTTGCTTCATCAGCATAGCCAAGCAATGCAATACGATAAAGACCGTGTGTGTCCACGGCCAATCGCGATGATATGTCCACCATATAACGACTCCAAGGTATGCAGTTTGCCAGATCTGAATAGGTCAGTGATATAACGGGGTTGAGGGCGAACTTTTGAGACTGACATTCTGAATGATCCAACCAAGACCATTCCAGCGAATGTATCCCTTGAGTACCACTCGTTGTAGTACCAGACAGAATCCCGTCGACCAACAGAGGAGCAAGTCAGTCAGTCCGAGGACCATGACATCTTTATCTAACATGAGACGGATAATCTCATTCTTGCCCCATATGCTGCCATAGGTTCTCCAATTGTTGGCAGCAAGCCTGAACAGCATCAGGGTCACCCCCATCCAGAAGAGAACAAAAAAGCCATGGAACTGGGGGGCAGTAGTCCCCAAATTTTGAAAAGTACTCAGCTGCTGGGTGAATTTCAGGTCCTGGAACCTGAATTTTCGTTTCTCACCCGACTGATGTGAGATATTGTGGTTGAGAATCTCCTGTAAAAGCTCGGCATCCTCTGCAGTGAGTAAGTATTGACCAGCTTGTTCAGTCTCGAGCTTCACAGAATCTTCTGATTTCGAGTCCATGATTATGCATCATGTAAATCAAAAGGTTTTAAGAGATCTGCGGTCTCTTCATTTCTCTTGGCACAGATGAATGCGGTAAAAGCGGTAAAATGACGTTTGGAGTAGTATTGTCCATAGACCTCGGGGAGAAGAGTATAATATAAACAAAAACAGAAAGTCAAGTTATTAAAAGTAGAAAGAAAGAATATGTACATATATTGTAAATATATAGCTGTAAACTTCTGTCTCACCTGAAATTGTACTTCTCCGCCTTAGCTCTCTCTGCCCCTGGAGCTATCTCTTCCTCCTACCATCCCAATTACCATCCCACCTACTATTACTTGAACAATGGATACGCCACAATCACCTCAAGTTCGGGTCCCTGGCAAAACCCCCGAAAAAACCCAACCCGAACCCCATGCGATTGCGACTGCAAACCACAATTCCACCGAGGTAGATATGGGAGGAACACAGGAGACAAGCCAACCTGAACCTGTAGCTGCGCAAGAAGATTCAATTCTTATATATGTGCAGGTAGAGGAGCCACCCGCTCTAAAGAAGAACGTAGGCTTCAACTTCCTTGAGTGAGCATTCTTTTCCCCAAACTTTTGCGACCCAATTCCTTTTCTTTTCAAAATGGCTTCACCTTCCATTATCCCAGTCACTACTTGCCAGCTCACAATCAATCGTAGCTTCCTGACTTCACCCATAGTTGAGATTATCGTTGGGAAAGGCGAGGATGAGACTGTTATGACAGCTCATCAATCCCTCCTGATGGAGGCGCCACTACTAGCCGAATTTGTTACAACCTTTGAAGCGTCAAGCCCGGTGAGTTCATTCATACCCGATCCATCCATATGTATTTTTGAATACTCATTTGCGATGGATAGCGACGCATCACCCTACCAGAAGAGGACGTCGATGCCTTTGGTTGCTTCCTCCAGTTCCAATATACGCGTGATTACACTGTCGTTCAAACGGAAACACCTGCGGAAACAGCCGAAGACAAGAGCGGCGATGAGTTGCTGCGCCATGCGCGCATCTACACGCTGGCAGAGAAGCTGGGCCTGCCAACCCTGCAGCGCATTGCCCATGGCAAGATTCACAAGGTCAAGAGCTCGCCTCACGCGGAGCTTTCATATGCCCGTTACGTATACACCCATACACCAATAACAGACACTACCATTCGGAAGCCTGTGGCGACTTACTGGGCGAACCAAAGCCACGTGCTGCGCCAGGAGGTCGGGGACGACTTTAGGAAGCTGTGCATTGAAGTCCCAGAGTTTTCTTTTGATGTTTTGACTATCATTCTGGATCGCAAGCTGAAGAACGGATCGGCGGATGAGATTAAGGAAGGTGCGCGCAAGCGTAGAAGAGACATCTAGTTTATTGCCAGTTGTACAATCACATATCCAAGGATCAGCAATGTATTATCATAATTTAATATGAATATCCATGAGCGGTCCGGGGGCAAAATCTCGTTAATGGCCGCAGAGTGACTGATTTTCATAAGGCCAGGCTCTCCACCTCCTCAATGATCTTCGGGGCTGTGGTCAGATTCTCAGAACCATCCTTGGTGATGTGGATGTTGTCTTCGATGCGCACTCCTCCCACACTCCAATATCGCTCCAAGACCTCGGTATCGATGTGCTTACCGGTCTCGGGGGCCTTTAAGACGGGATCGATGATGAAGCGACAGAAATAGATCTGGTAAATAATAAGAATTGGCCGTTGAAAAAGAGGGTTCTCAAGGGGTAGTACTCACACCAGGCTCAACGGTGACCACGGAGCCAGCAGGCAGGTTAGCGCGAACACGCAGGTAGCGGAACATGGTATCCTTATCCTCATAGTTAGGGTTACCGCCGGTATCATGGGTGTCCATTCCCAGGTAATGACCGAGGCCATGGGGGAAGAAGGCCACGCTGACACGCTTCTCGAACAATTCCTCCTCGGATCCACGCAGGATACCCAGTTTCAACAAGCCACGGATGGCAATGCGATGTGCCAGCGCGTGAACGTCATCCCAACACACGCCTTCCTTGAGAATGGCAATACATTCTGTCTGCATCTGGAGAACAATCTCGTAAATCTGACGGGTCTCAGGGGCAAACCTTCCATTCAGAGGAATAACACGCGTGATATCGGCGCAGTAAGTCTGGTATTCACCGCCGGCATCGATGAGGACATTGTTCTTCCGCTGCTTAGTGACGGGGTCGACCAAGTCGACATCGTTTCTAACATAGTGAAGAGTAGCACCCCCTTCACCTCCAGCAACGATGGGGTGGTAGGACTGCTCGCGACATCCATTGGCAATGCAAGCGCCGATAATGGCAGCCTCGATCTCGCGCTCGTTAGTTGCGGTCTTCGAAGCCTGGATAGCAGCGATGTGCGCCTTGGTCGAGATATCGTTTGCCTTTCGCAAAAGCGCAACCTCGTACGCATCCTTGATGACACGAGTATCCTCAATGGCAGTCTTTAGGCTGGCAAAGTTTGTTTCCGCGAAGCCCTGGAAGCTCGTGCCCTCTGACACCTGTTCGGCCATTGCAAAAGCAGCAGTTTGTCCATTGTGGCTCGAGGCGATTGACGCCAAAGTCGAATTTACATCGGTTGTAAACAGAACGCGGTCCACGTCGTAGAGCTTAGCGGCCTCCTCGGGAGACAGGGGAAGACCAGACCAAATGACTGACTCTGGGTCGATCGGTGGAATGAACAGAGTCAATTCATCTTTGACGGCATCGTAGACCACGGCGGCATTGGGCAAAAGACATCCAGTGAGATAGAAGAAAGGACGACGCTGCCTAGATCGGGTTAGTGTTAATCTATATTCTATAATAATGCTGCATTACCTAAATGGCATATCCTCATCGCTATCCTCGATCAATCGAGTTTTTTGAGCCTCAAGGTAGATAACTCCGGCCCCGCCATGCCGAGCCTTAAGAGACTCGACGACACGACGAGCATGGGCCTTAGCCGGATACTTGGTGGCGAGAATTGTATCCACAGTAGTCATGTTGAGTGAATAGTTGGGGGAAAAGGGAGAGAAAGAGAGGAATGGTAATATTTAGAGGGTTACATTGCGGGGCTTATAAAAGCGGTTATTGCCGCAAGAGAGATACCACACAGTAGACAATCATATTATATTATTTTTTTTATCGGATTCGGATTCTTCAAATGTTCAAATCTCTCCAGGACTAGCTCTCTGAAGCAGAAACATCTTCAAATTCCATCTCCCATTGGTCCACTTCCGCAAACTTTTTGACCGCCGCGCGCAACTCATCGCTCACGCAACGAGTGGCCTCGGTTTCCATAGATTCGGAATCAGAGACATCGGACTCAGGTGGTGATGACAATGGAGAAGAGGATGGCGATGACAGAAGCGTTTCATTTTCTTTGTCGACGCCACTCGCTTGAGAACGTGAATACGTAGCTGGTTCTTTTGGTGCTGGTTGATCCTTATTTTTTTCTCTTGAATCTTCTTCTGCTTCGGATTTCGGGCGTTGGCTAATGGCTTGGGTTTGCTTTTCCCCGCCCGTCGACCGGATGATCTTTGTAATGGGTAGTTTAGCTCGTCCTCGTCACCAGATGCGGCATCATGCTGATCATCACTTTCGTCACTGTAACCGTTGGTGGCGTGGAGTCTACGCCGACGACGTGGTAAAAGCTTGTCTTGCAGGTTTGCTGTCGATAGATGACTCGGGGCTTTGTCCTTTTTCTTCTGAAGAGGCCGCGGTGTGGAATCGCCATGTGTAGCGGAGCCAGCAGGACTGCTGGCCGGTGGTAACATAGTCTGGCTCAATATTTCTGGAAATAGGTGGGATTGCGGCGTCGCTTCGACTCTTTCAATCTCAACATCCTGATCACCAAGTTCCTCGTCTTCGGATCTGACCTCCTCATCTCCAGAAAGTTGGTTTCCAATGTCATGTCGAGAATCGTCGCGTTGAATCGGTGTCGCAGTTGGAGTATCTTCTACCATATCCACAGGCGACTGTGGTACTTGAATCTCTTGGGTCGTGCGCCTTCGCTTGCGCGACCCACCGGACGAGAGCGGTGATTCGGAAGGTAACGGGGATGATGACTTCTCCGTTGGCTTGATAAGTAGTGACTTTCCCCGAGACAGATTTAGTGGTGTCGATTCATCATTGGGGCTAAGTCCACCAAGGAAGTCATCATCATCAAGATCGGAAGAGCCATCGTCGGCTTGCATCATTTGCAGAATGCTTTGCTGTCGCGGTCGCCGCCTGAAGTTGCTCAGAACTGAATTATCGAATCCAGGCGTTCCAGGAACCCGGGAGCTTGAGTCGCCTTTGCGTCCAGCGAATGATAGTGTAGAAGAATAACCGCGCGATCTTGTAGGGGGACGACTGCCGGTTCCAGGTCGACTGCCGGTGCCCGGCCGGTCTCCCATGGGTGAAGATTCAATTGCTTGTTCATGACTTTTGGTCAAGGGTGTCTGACTGCGTAGTGCTTGTCTCGGATCCAAGGCTGAGCCGCGCTCCGGCTGCGCAGGCGATTTGGCGACATTGAGGTCAACTTGTGTTGAGTCTTCTATTGCGGTGGTTTTAGGCTGACTCTTTCCCACCGTGCGACTTCGTTTGGGAGCAGGACGAGGCATGATTGAAATTGATTTGAACAGAGTATGCTAAGCCAAGATGGTTGCGCGGCTACAAATAAAGAAGATCGACGCGTTTGTTTGGGACGCGTGCACGTGGACCACATGTGACATCCAACCTATAATCTACAACGTACTGACATCTTTATACTCCCATATTTCTCTACATATATCAATACATATGTATTTGTATTTACTTTGCTTGTCATTTCATTGCACTATTCTTGTCTCACATTTTCCCATCCGATGTCACAATTGCAGGGTTGTATGCTTAACCTGCCACGGACTCACCCCCGTATCGAGTTAGGCGGGCCAACTATTATTATACAAGCACAAGGACACATTCGAACGGATTTCTATTAGAAGCCGACCTTACATTCTACATTAATGCCCGTGCCCCCAAATTCTCCGGATTATTTCTTGGATATCCCTCTCTTTGTCTCTACTTTTCAAGTATGGTCTGATGCCCGTCATGCCGACCACCCCCTCGGTTTGGAGTGGAAAGCAACGTTAAGATACAACACCCACACAATCTCAGTTCTGAACAATGACTCTGCCCCCAGAAAAAGAGATGGTAGACCCCATGGGGGACTATGCAGTTAGCGACACATCCATCGGCAAGAAAAAGCGCTCGAATACAGAGGCTGCTGAATATCCCAGAAGACGGGCAACAATAGCTGTAAGCGCCTCTGGCACATTCGAGCAAGGCAGATTTGACTTTGATTCAGTGTCAGATATGCCGGCTACGCAAGACCCGATGCAATGGGGCTCGTCCCAAGTGTCAACTCTGCTCCGATTTGAATGCGGAATGTGTCTATCGAGAACCCGGTATCAAACTCGACGCTGGCGACAAGCTCATTCTAGATCATTTGGCCAGAATTGAGAGTTTGCTACACTCAAATTTACCAAACCAAGGGTCACATTTAGCCCTCTCCGCTACCTCCCCGGCCACCAGCAACGATACAAACCTCGGTAGCGACGATCCATTAACGAAAACATCATCCAGCGGATTGCCGGTCCATGGAAGATTGTCTGCCGTTGGACTCGGTTCCTGGGTCAATCCACCTGCCAGTCTAAGCATCTCTACGATGCCCAAGATGCATACCACCCCTGCTCTTCATCTCCTCCAATGGCCGCTAATTCGGGATTTGGTCTCTGGGGTCTATGACCCGCAGCACCTTCTTCAATTGGAGATGGCCCGCGAGCCATTGCGGCTGACTCCAAATTCAGGCTTTGATTTGACAAATGCATCCACGTATGCCCAGGCATTTTTCAACTACGGAAACGTTTGGTACGCCTGCGTGAACCCTTATACGTGGAATCGATATTATCAATCAGCTCTCGCGCAAGGATTTCAGGAAGGACCCATGAGTTGTCTTGTTCTTCTGGTCTTGGCCCTAGGAAGCGCTAGCCATAGTGGCAGTATCTCCTTTGTGTCACCAGATCGTGAACCGCCGGGACTTCCTTATTTTGCCGCTGCATGGACCTTTCTACCGTCAGTCATGATGCGAAATACCGTGGTCGCGGCGCAGTGCATGGTCATGGCCTCTGCCTACCTATTCTATCTAGTGCGGCCCCTGGAAGCCTGGACCTTGCTATCCAGCGTGAGCATGAAATTGCAGTTGTTGTTTGGCAGTCCAAATCGAATCCCAACCCAGTGGAGAGAGCTGAGTGTGAGGGTATACTGGAACACCTTGTTGTTTGAAAGCGATCTTCTCGCAGAATTAGATCTCCCCCATTCTGGCATTGTCAATTTTGAAGAACTCGTGGATTTGCCAGGAGGCTTTGAGGAAGAAGATGAGGATGACGGCGAGGAGGAAGAAGGAGATCATAATGAAGGCGAAGAACGCCGAACAGCCAGGAAATATCAGGGCTCGTCACGCCCGGTTGACTCCCAGCTGGCTGTTCGGCGTGACGAACTCTGGTACTTCCTAGCAGAAATTGCGCTACGAAGACTCCTCAATCGCGTCAGCCACATCATTTATCAGAAAGACAGCACCCACACTCTCGCCTCATTGGGTCCGATTGTCTCCGAGCTCGACTTTCAGCTGTCTCAGTGGTACGATAGTCTTCCCCGGTCCGTCCAATTTCCTTTGACCCAAAAGCCTATCTCCAATCCGGTTCAAACGGTGTTGAGGCTTCGCTACAATGCATGCCGTACTATTATATACCGTCCATATATCTTGGCTGTTTTTGAGAATGAACAGGCTGGAGCAGACCCGGGGGTGAAAGAATGTTGCCGGCGATGTTTGGATGCTACACTCCGTCAGCTGGAGCATATAACCAGCCACCGCGAAGGCCACCTTCCATACCTGTGGCAGGGTGCCCTGTCAATGGTATCACAGACGTTGCTGATAATGGGTGCCACGATGTCTCCTACCCTATCTATCCTACTCCCCCCCGTTCCACAGATGGATGCGATCATTGCGGGAGTGGTCAACGAGGTAGAGAGGTATGCACACCTAGCACCCAGCCTCAAACTGTCAGCCGAGATTATCCGAGATGCAGAGAGACGACGACAAATTTGTCTTCGATCGGCTAATATGTGCCTCTGAACTGCACACTTCTGAGGGAATTAGTGCTAGACCTTAATTCATCGTCGATAAAGATATTTGTATATAGGAACGCGAACAAGTACTAAAAGAATTGGATTGAAGGTGTGTGTGATATGCATTAAAGTGTGTCGTTAGGGCTCGCACCGAGGCAAGATCACCCAAAATAAACAGTTTATATGAGCAAGAAACAAACGGCGTTAGATAAAATCCCATCTCATGACAATTATGTTCTTAAATCATCAAATATCTCACGGGTTAAAAATCATGGTATCTCAAAAGACATGGGGGAGATCAAATATGGACATCAGGAATATCAAAAGACCCAGGAAAACTCCAGGCCTCCACTGGCTTTCAGGGGGGATAATTATCGTATGGCTTCATATACTTCCTAGACTAACACCCACTCGCTACCTCGCTTGATGAACTTGTCGAGCATCAGGCCCACATCAGCCAGTGCGAACCGACAAATGTAAAAGCCAAAGAATTCGGCAGCATGTCGTGTGCTAAGTTCCAGACCAACGTGGGTTTTAGACGAATGTTTGAGTCCAGGATCCTCAACCTGCTGAGCAATTTGTTCTGATGATGGAATTAGAATGGTGTCAAGGCATATAGACGAGAGAATTCTTACCTAGCACTTGTGCAGCATCAAAAAGCCGCGCCAATGCCCCCATGTAGTTTGCGTTGGGCCCAGAGAATTCAAGCTGGGTAACATTGCGCTTCGCAGGTGTGCCATGTACAGATGTCATTGGGACGGAGTTGAGAATCAGATTGTCCTTATTACTTTCTCGAGAACTGGGGACCGGAGTGGTTGTCCCAAGCCCGGAGGTTTTTGCGCGTAGTCTTTTCCATGTCAGGTATGACTTGTTCGGCGCAGCTTCCGGTTGAACAGGTTCATCCGGCGTGGAAGCCGGCTTAAACAATGGCATTGATGCTTGGACTCCGACGTCATTACCCAATTTCTTAGTCAAGAGAACCTGAACTTGGTCGAGTATAGTATCAAACGACTGCATCTCCTCCAGAACCGCATCTGCATCATATGTATCGACCTGAGCCAATTTGAGCAGAGCGGCGGTCAGAAGATCACAGTTAGACACTTTCTCTTCGAGGGCCTTCAGTTTGACATTTTTCACACGCCAGACATCTCGAGGAATAAAGAGCTTCTCTGACAGATAGCCACCCTGAGGATGGGCGAGTGTCTGGTAGAGACATCTCATTAGCCAAAATGGGCGGAGCAGGAAAGACTCTGGACATGGCTCTAGAGGAAGCGGGGCATTGGCCACCAATGAATTTGGACGGCCAAGAGCTGTAGATGAGTGCATGTTGCTACCAAATAGGTTTAATCCGCCGCTTGGCAGACCATTTTGATTGAAGTTGAAGTTGGCCAGGGTCGGTGTAGGTAAAACAGGAACGCCGCTAGTCGCGCCCCTTTGAGTGTCAGGGAATGCACCGCTCCACGGGGTGCTTGGGGATTCCGGGCACATATCAGGGATCTGAATCGGAACAGAGGCATTCCGAGCTCGGAAAGGCTTTGTATTTGAGTGGAGTTTGTTCAATCCATCTGGAGCCGAGGGTACTTTGCCCATAGGCCGCGCTGACAGCGGCAGGGGTGGCAGTTCATTCTCGTTGTCTTCATGGGTACGAGCTTTGGAGAGGCTGGCGTGGTCCGTGAAAGAGCCCACCGATGGGTTACGTTGTGTCGGGTGCAAAGTGGAGCGGGCCCCATGGGTAGAAGGTTCGTCTTTCGGTAACGGTTGCGGGCGGTTTGCTAGTGGGGTTGCAAAATTTTCCAAGGCCGATGATGCATTGGAATTAGCGCGAGAGGAGCGGGTATTGGTCTCGATTTTAAGCTCGCGAGTCTGACTGGATAGTCTCCGGGCTCGCACTCCTGGACCCGTAGAGGAGGCGAGTGAGCCGATAGAACCAGCGCGGTTTGATATCGAGGCCCGCTTTGAAGGAGCTGGGAAGTCGGATGACGCTGGCAAGGGGCGGCAAAGCCGAAGATGGAGGAGAAGAGGGCATGGTATATGGTTCGGGTCTTAGGTCGCCTAGTGGCAACACATCGTCTTCTGCAAGCGTAGACAGTGCACCCCCAGTGCTTGCGACATTGGACGTTGCGGAGCTTTCCCAAGTCCTCCCAGACATGTTGCTAGAATCCGACTCTCGAGGGAGTGCCGACTTCGACTGAATGCCGAACTCAAAGTCATCCATCACGTAGCCCTTGGTCATCTCTTCTAGCAAACGCTCCTCTTCCTCTGCTTCATCGTCTAGATATTCCGAATTACGGGAAATGATGGGGTCATCCCCGTAAGTTGTCTGTTCCTGGATCCGGCGCATTTCACGATCACGGTTCATTGCCTCTGCTTCCTGTTCTGCCTCGCGCACTCTTTGCTTCGCTAATTGTATGTTCCTGCGAGCATTTGAAACAATAACATCGCTTTCCTCTTCTTT